TATCCATGTTATTCATGCTGTTTGGCGGTGCTGATAAGACAGTCCATGCGGCCTGGGTGGGGAGAGGAGGAGACATTTGCAAACCAGGAGATCAACGGTTGTGGGATTAAAACTCCCATCACATCCCCATCAACCTGGCCAATAATCAGAAGGTTGACAAAAACCTAGAGGAGTCTAGATTCTTCTCAGCCATAAGATGCTAAACCTGTCCCATGATTGAAGGGTACAAAACTCGGCATGGTTAGGATAAAATGAATAAAAAAAAGCAGTTCTCTCTTTCCCAATACTAAAGAACAGAAGAAAGAATCTGAATGAATCCGGATAGATAAGATGTTTTTTTTCCACAACACCTCATTCAACTTTGAAATTCCTTACCATGAGATATGAAGCTGGCTACTAGATTGGCTGGCTTCAATAAAAGGGGACGATGACACCAATTCACAGTCCTGGGGATAGATACAGATAGAGATTAACGGAAGGGATCTTGTAGGTCATCTTCTAATCCAACCCCCTGCCCAAGCAGACCCAATGTCAACTAAAAAGATACTCCTTTTTAGCTGACAGAAAGGGGGTGGGGCGGGGGGAAGACCAGGGTCAAGGGGGAAATGTATGATGTAATTTAGTATCGGCTGCACCCAGCTAATGCCAACATGGCCACTTCTAATAATTTTCTTTTCTCTGAGATGAGGCTAGAGACTTTTGATTTGAATGTGGGTGGATTTGTTGGAGCCCTGACAGCCAGCCAAGACTCTAAAAATTCAGCATGATGGGATACCTGACCCCCTGGCCTCTTCAGTCACTTCCCGACATCTGGAATGCGTGGAAAGTCAGATTAAAATGGCAGCGGGGGGGGCCTCTCGGAAGAAAGCCCTGTAGAAGCAGCTCAGCTACGAACAGAATCATAAGCGTCACCGTTTCTGACAGATGGCAGTCCAGACTCTTCTTGAAAGCTTCCAGGGATGAAGCTCCCACAACTTCTGAGGGCAACTTCTGTTCCATTCAGTAACTACTGATGGCAGTGGGGCTGCTCTAAAGGCCATCTCCTGGGAGGCTTCTTTGTGCATCAGTGGACCACTGGGAAAACAAACCCACCAGGATTAGATGGGCTGGAATCTGATCCAGCAGGACACTACTTCTTAATTGGGTTGACTATCTCTTCACTAGGACTAAGAGTTTGGCTTTAAAAAAAAAGGAAAATCACTTGCAGAATTTCACAGGGAATCCTCAAATTAGGATCACAGCGGAGCTAAGTAAGACAGTTGTTAAGTGGGTTGCACCTCATTTTATGGCCGTTTTGCCACAGTTAAGTGAGTCATGCAGTCATTAATTGAATCTGGCTTCACTCATTGCTTGTGGAAAGCTGGCTGGGAAGGTTGTCAATGGTGAATGACCCTGGGACAGTGCAACTGTCAAAAATATATGCCATTTGTCAGGTGACTGACTTTTGGTCACCATGGGGGAGATTAGAAGTATGAAATCTTTTTTCAGTGCCATTATATCTTCAAATGGTCATTAAATGAATTGTTGTAAGGGACTCCCTGTCTATAATCATCCTGCCTATTGGATGTAATAAAAACTGTAGCTAGTTTTGAAGAACATGGGATGGTATGAAGTGAGTATACAGGATTGACAGAAGAATTATATGGTTTTTATTATTTGCTGACCAATAATATTTGCATCCAAAGCCAGATTAGGAATGTAACAGACCGTTAGGCGTGCTTGTGTGAAACAGAGTTCTCCAACCTGCTGAGTCCAGATGTGTTGAACTATAACTCCATCATCCAGCAGCACTCCAGCCATGAATGATGGAAATTTTACTCCAATTAACTTGGAGAACATCAGCTTGAGGAATGCTGGTGTAGAAAGGACAAGCATCTCTGTGATGTCTTAATTGGTGTTGTAGATAATCAGCTAATTGCAACATGTATACAGAATTCAAATTAGACACTAATGCTTCTTCTTTTATCCTGTAGCATGGCTGAAACTCTTTTTAACCTTATCCAGGAGACTGCTGGTCTGCTTGCTTAACAGTCTTGAGCATAAGGAAATACAAGAATGTGAAGAAATGTTCCTACTTGAGACTTCAAACTTGAAGCTTCTAGTCCTTTCTGTCCAACTGGTCATGAAGAGGAAAGGGGTCATCAGCAGCACAGAAAAGACTGCCCTTGATTTTCCAAACTGGACTTCCTCTTGCTTGTATAAGCTGGATGTATTATTTGTTTAGACCACATTTCTGGAATTTGGGTTTGTTTGGGGTAAATATTTCAGGCAGCAACAGTTTATTTTCCAAATCTGGATGAAGGATACTTTAGAAAGCTTCAAATCGGAGGGCTTCCTTAATTCCTTCTGTTGATATCAGGGTGAGGAAGGATAGGAAAACCCTTTCTGGTTTGGGGGACAGGGGGACTCCATCAGATGTGGCTTTCGGTGGCCTTTTGTAGGGAGAGAGTGGAGGTTCTATGGATTAAAATGGGGGAATAGACTGCTAATCTCCTGGGAATGCAAAAGAAGATTCTGGGAGTCACCTGTAATTATGGACTTGTCACTTTTGTTTTGAAAAATGGACTTGTGTAAACCCTGGAAAAATATCTGGATTCTTCAGAAGGTCCCTGAAGATCGGCTGCCTTCCCTGTTCTGTTAACTATCGCTGAGTTATTGCTAAGGTTCAGAGTTTGCTCAGTGGTCCAGAATTTTTTATTTCAATAAAACAGAGTATGTTTTATTTCTCTCTCTTTTTTTTTTGTTGCCTTAAGATGAACTGGGAATCTCTGCCCATTCATATTCACTGGGCTATAGTTCCCCTTAATCTATCCAGTATGGCCCTTCTACCTGTGGTTGTGCTGTTGGAGTTCAGCAACAACAAATGTGATTGTTAAGATTCCGAGTAATGAACCCAACCAAACATTAATTTTAGAGGGCTGCAGCTTGTCTTTCCACAAGAATTGACCCTCTCTAGGACTTCTTTTCTCTGACAAAAGCAAGGAAGGGAGGAGTATGGAACCCTGAGGGATCTCTCTTTAAATCAGGTGGTTTTGAAGAAGGATATCCATTGCTTTCTGAAAAGAAAGGCGCTCTCAATTTGAATAAAATATGGAAGATTCTTCAGTGCAGTTTTGTGGGAGGGAGAATATGTGTAGCTAGGTAACCACATGAGTAAAAGGTCTGAAGCGACAGTGTTTTAACTGAAAAATGAGCTCTGACTGTGGTTGGCAGCTCACTGAACACCTTGAGCATAGACTATTGCATAACAGCTAAATTATTAGATACATGAATATTTCTATGGTAGTGTAATCATTACTAGAAAAGTATTAATTACTGATAAAAATAGCCGTCATTTAGCGATTGCCTCATTTAGCAACTATTCACAGTTAACTGATGAAAAAGTTACTTTGCAACCTGTCCTTGCATTTAGAATCTTTGCAGATCTGTAAAGCTGAACAGAATTCATAAGCACAGCAGTGGTGTCTCTTAGCTACTGCCTCACTTAATGACCAAGTAGCCAGTCGTGGATGGTAATTGAGGATATCTGTATCGTCAAAATCCAAAGTGCGGCTATCTTCAGGTTGATGCAACCAGGTATAGTAAGTCTATCTGAAAAGCTGCTCAAATGTTGAACATCTGGTCTTGGGCAGCGAGAGATGAAGTGAGCTGTGATGGGAGCAACTCTGAAGCAACCTCCAATTCATTTTCCAATCTAAACTGATTCAGAGATGCTAAGCCAGGGCATGGTTAGATGTAGGGTGATGGGTGAATCTAGACAGACCAGAGGTTTAACTAGTTACCGAATCCCTTAACCAGATTGTACCTGTGGTTCACAGTAGGCTTAGTTACCATGGTGCTAGTTTGCAAATCATCTGAAGATGGATGGCTTTTAATCTGGGCTAAACCTCTGGATGTAGAGGGGGAGGGAAGGTATGGCCTTGAAACGAGATTGTGGCAAACATGGCCACTCCATTTATCTTCCTCTGAAAGAATAGGAAAAAAAGCAGTTGGGTGAGGCTCTTTGTCCACTGACTCTAATCCTGATCAGGCCATTGGATTTTTAATTCTTTTTAATGAGACATATCAAAAAAATCCAAATGTGACTGGCTGTGGTTTGCTTGTATTTGTGGGTCTGGTTTCTTAATCGCTGTTAAGCTTAGACTATCATTCAAATATGTTTGTGGAGTGATCCTGGATCTTTGTCAAACTACAATATTTTTGAGTCTGATGTTACATTGTGTGAATCCAGCCAGCTGTCAACCATGATTCAGAGCATGATTCAACATGACATAAGAGCCGAGTCTCGCTGTTTAGAAATACAGGATTAAAACAGCATTTTTCAAACTTGGCACTAAGATGTGTGGAAGTCAACTCCCAGAATTCTGGGAGTTGAATTCCACACATCTTAAAAGTTGTCTGTTTAAAAACTGTACATTATAAGGAAAGACCCCACATATGCCTTCTATATGGACATATAAAGAACGGTTGCTGGAATTGGGTATGTCTAGTTTAATGAAAAGAAGGACTAGGGGAGATACGAGAGGAGAGTTCCAATATCTCAGGGGCTGGCAACAAAGAAGAGGGAGTCAAGCTATTCTCCAGAGCACCTGAGGGCAGGACAAGAAGCAATGGGTGGAAACTAATCAGGGAGAGAAGCAACCTGGAATAGGGGTCTTTAACCTTGGCAACTTTAATCCTGGAGGACTTCAACTCCCAGAAGCTGGCTGGGGAATTTTGGGAATTGAAGTCCTCCAAGCTTAAAGTTGCCAAGGTTGGAGACAACCTGACCTAGAACATTCCAGACAGAAAAATCAATCAGTGGAATGACTTGTGAATGTTCCATCACTGGAGTTTCTTAAGAAGAGACTAGACAACCATTTGTCTAAAATAGGTTTCTTGCCTGAACAGGGGCTTAGACCAGAATGCCTCAAAGTCCCTTCTAACTCTGTTATTCGGAGTTTTTTTTTAATGCAGAGAGTTACCTAGGAAACACTAAACACAGTTATTGGGTGCAAATATCACTTTCCCAAATACAGTTTATTTTTTGATACAAGTCTTATAAAAACAAAAGTGTATAGAGCAGTTTAAAAGGAAACAAACATTAAAATAGGCTTACTCACTCATACCTATATATAAATACAAGCTGTGGTTGAAGACTTGCACTTGAACTTTATTCACTCATTTTTCTCATCCACACCTCAAGAAAATACCCAAAAGTCTTCCAGGGTTTCTTCCTAAGCATTTTAAGACCTGTGGACTTCAACTTCCAGAATTCCCCAACCAGCATTGACAAGCAACCAGAATCACACCACAATACTGGCTAGGGAATTCTGGGAGTTGAAGTCTACAGGTCTTACAATAGCCAAGACTGGGAAACACTGTTTTAGATGAATGCTATAATTCAGTTATTTACAACAGACTTTTAAAGGTGATTTAACAGTTCTACCAGGCCTTTATTGTGAAATGCCCTCAAATCATCCACAGTGGTTCTGTATAGGTGGCTATAGCTGTATAGGTGGCTTAAGCATATTTACCTCACAAATACCTTCCATTTCTGCTACAGATCTCAAATGGCTTCTCAGAATCTGAATACTGGTGCACTAAACTGATGGATTTCTCCAGCAGATCCCACTTGAGAGTACAGGTAGCCTTTGCTTAATTATCACAACTGGGGCCAGCCACTCTGTCGCCAAACACCTGGTCACTAAATAAAACGTGATCGTGATGGACTGGCTTCCACTATGGCCGTTAAGCAAATCATTGCAGTCATAAATTAAAATCTCATGTGATTGTGGCTTCTGAATTTACTTGCCTTCTTCTCATTGACTGCTTGTCACAAGCCAGTTCGAAGCACACAATTTAGCCAACATCCCCCCCAGTTACCAGGTACCTGAATGACACGAGTGTGGGGACGTTTCTCAGGTTGAAAATGTGAGGACTGGTCATAAAGTTATTTTTTTCCACCGTAACTTTGAGTGCTAAATGAGGTGATGGGTAAGCAAGGTCTCACATAAAGCCCATTCAGCTGGCTCTACTGGCACTTTTCACACAGGTGTGCAATAAGCATATGTCCCCACCCCGCCCCTCATTCCCTAATAGGATCATTCCACATCTACAACCCAACCCTGGTCCTGAGACCTCAGTAGGATTTGCACAAGTGGATTTGGCCTTCAAGTAATCCGTCATCCAGCCAAGCTCATCCAGCATTTTGTCTGTACCCTGATTTTAAAAATAAAATCCTGAAGTGGTTTTTACTTAGAAACAAATGTAATCTGCTAATGTTTAAATAAACATATCTGAAGATCTAGGATCACAATGGGTGTATTGTTTCCTGGAAGGGATGCAACCTCAAGGATGGAAGGGAATGCAAAGTAAATGTGGCTCTTCTTTTGAAAGAGCATTCCACAAACTGCTGCCCCCCCCCCCCCTGTTTGGATAGGACTCTGCAGGAAGCGAGATGGGAGCTGAGACCCCAAATTTCAGAATTTTGGCATTAGGTTAGAAAAAAGTGTCTTAAGAAAGTTTGGAAGTTGCAGAGTCTTTCCAATGTCTCCTCCCTGCATCTGGGGACTCCCTCCCACGGATGCCATTTTGCTATTACAAAGAATTAAAAGCAGGCTGTTATAAATAAGGAGCCTGATCAACCAGAAGGCCTTCAGAGGATGACTTTGAGAAGGCAACTGAAGGTTCGTGTATCTCTTCACTGTCAGTCTCTACACTTAAAAGGACTCGCTCCTTCCCTCAACTGACATCGTTTTCACTTTTACGCCAGGAAATCGAAAACACGTTCTTAGTTGATCAGCAAGTGGGAGAAAAGTGAGTTGTTAGACTGGTTGGTGTTGAGGTCCACCAGACGACTTTCCACCTTCCTGTCGCTGTTCTCATCATCACCTCCGCTCCTGAAGACGGCATCTCCTTCTGCCTCCCAGCAACCTTCTGCTGGGCCTAGGGGATGTAGGGGCGAAGCATCCTCAGGGTCTGATTGTTCCACGCTGGGTCTCTCCCTCAGGACCCCTTCCTCACTGGCATCCTCACCGGAGGGGCTCTCCTCACCACTGGTCTCACTGCCTCCTGGACCTGAGTTGGCCCGTGGGAGTCCTTCAATGGCTGCATCTGTGCCATCCTCTGGATCAGAATCCGAATCGATAAAGGGAGTGTCCGGTTCTAGGAAGAAAAGAAAATGAACCCAATTGAGCCAAGAGTGGGATGACAAGGGTTCCTTGTGACACAAATATGGTGCGTTTTTGGCTCGTGATGCCAACATTCCACCAGCTGAACGAGAGGAGGCCCCGATTGGCCTCCATCTTAGAAATATTCCAATTTAGAAGCATTCCAGCTTGGAGTCCTTTTGAGGGGAGGAAATGTTTGTGGTTTAACCCTCAGGCTTATCTCCACCGTTTCCTAAGGAAAGGGAGACAGTCTGGCGAGATTTTTACCTTTGGTGATCAACAATAAAGAAACCTATTTGACCCATTGTTGGAATTGTTTTGGTTGCTTGCGTCTGACATGCACCCCTTTTTAGCTCTGCAATTTCTGTTTCTTTTCAACTTGTGCCAAACAAGTCTTGTAAGAACAACCCCCTTGCAAAGAATAACACAGCAAACATTAAAATGCGAGATTCCACCTCACCTCTGAATGAATCTTCAGCAAGAGCGGCTTCTGTTTGTTCAGAGGTTGCTTCAACATACTGGATTTCACTGTGGGGTTGTGTCCCTTCATCCTCCTGAATACATGCAATTCAAGGCGTTAGTGAGATTAACTCTGTAAAATGAGAGGGCGCCGATCAAAAGATTACCCCCGGCAGCCACAGCGTCTCCAGCAGGTTCTACTCACCTGGTTCCTGACCAGCTCCTCATCTTCCCTGATCGTTTCTTCTGGAGATGATACGCCATTGGATTCAAAGATAGTAGTGTAAAAATTTATGAGTGCCTCAACAATGCATGCCTGGTGGGGGTAATCCACCAAGGAAGAGAGGGAGACGGTAGCCTGGGTGGGTCGAGGACGCATTAATGTGGGGCCAAAGACGATTCCCAGGTTGCTAGAAGACATTTTATTGTCATCTTCAAGTTCTATAATCCTAGAACAGAATTGGACAAAGAGATGCATGCAGACGATTGCAGGAACTGGGTATGGCTAGTCTAGAGAAAAGAACTAGGGAGGACGTGACATGATGGCCGTCGTAAGTCACTTTTTTCAGTGCCTTTGTGACTTTGAATGGTCACTAAGTGAAAAGTTGCAAATTGAGGACTACTTGTAAATCGTTTTCCTGACCCAATTTTGCCAGGCAAAGCCACTGACCTCTTCAGATGCTGCGTGATACACTTCAAGGTGGCCAAGTTCTTGGCTGGAAGTTCTTTGAGCAGCTCCTTCAGCTTGGTTACCATGGCTTTCTCTGCCTCGCTGCTTGGGTCCACTGGCTCCCCAGTGCTTCTCCCTGCCCTGCTGTCGGACCGACTCTGCAAGGTCTCCTTGGCTAGGCCCATAAGGCTGTTGTACATCCGGAAAGGCATGATTGGTTCTGGGAGCTGAAAGGAGGGAGAGTCACGGGACAGTAAATCATCTGACATGCCAGCTTGCTTACAAAACAAGAACCTGGATCCTGGATCAACACACATCACGCTTTCCAGGTGTATTTAGGGAGCCCATCAGCTGAATTTGAAAGCAACGGGTTTTGATGCTACTTTGAACTTGGAAGATTCACCACAACTAATAAACATAGAACTCTTCTGCAAATTATTTCACTCTCTTTTAAAGGGTGCCATGATGGCATCTAATGAAAGTGAATTCCATGGGTTTACCCAAAAAAGCCAACCGAGAGCCAGTTTGGTGTAGTGGTTAAGGTCCTGGCCTAGAAACCGGGAGGAGACGATGAGCCTTAGTCCCATCCTTAGGCATAAAGCCAGCTGGGTGACTTTGGGCCAGTCCCTGTCTCGGCTCAGTCAACCTCACAGGGTTACTATGGGGAAGACAGGAGGAGGAGGAGGAGGAGGAAGCCCTGTGTATGTTCATTGCCTTCAATTATTTATAAAAACAATAAAGATGGGATAATAATCTAATAAGCAAAAAAAAAATTTCAGAAGAGTCAGAGAGCACCTTTTCCAACTAACGTATTTTATTACAAGTAACTACAGCTTCTATGAGCAGCAACATATCAAATGCCTCGAGTGTATAATCTGATGCAGAATTTATTTATTTATTTATTTATTACATTTATATGCTCCCCCATCTCACAGTTTGAGACAGTCTGGGCAGCTTATTTAACTTACAAGGGGAAAATTGGAGGAAAAATATATGTTTAGATATCTGAAGGCTGTTACCACATCCCTGTGAATCCATTTCACTGGATTAATCTTGGTTAGCCAAAGGAAAGGCAGAAAAAAAATTCCATTCCAAGATCCTCCTCTTCTGTCTTTTGGGCTAAGAAGCTTTCAATAGTAGGGCAGGTGCTCCACCTTTTGGCTCAAAGACTGCAATCACTCACCTGGCGAAGGTAGAGCTTCAGCACGTTGCTGATGTCATGCGGTGAGGCGTGAGACAGCTCAACCAGCTCCTTCCCGTTCTCAAAAGCCTGACAGAGCTTCTCTACGCGGGATTTCACTCCATTGACACGGTAGATGCCCTAAGGAAGACAGAAAGGAGTATCAATTGGACAAAATGTTGCCATTTTGATTTTTGTTTTTTAACCTAACCTCTCCCCCGATGTGCTTGTTTCAGGGATGCCCAGGAGGTAGAGAGAAAAAGTGAACCACAGTAATCATAATGGTGTGATTGAAACTCTGTCTGTTTTCATGTGTATCCCGCAGAGTTTGGATCCCATTCCTCTGTCATCTTGGAAAAAAAAAAATTACAGCCACACCAAGCTTTTACAACAGAAGCGTGCAACCATTTTACAGGGGTGGCGTGCCAAAAGTGGACAGGAACAGAGTAAAAAATAACTTTGCTTCCCTTCAATTAAATAGCTCATAGCTCACTCCCCATGCATTCTTCCTTTCTATCACACGACGGATCAGAGTTAAACACAGCTTGTTTTCACTCTCTTCAGCACATCTATTAGAGGCCTTACAGCAGGGTTTCCCAATCTTGGCCACTTTCAGAGATGTGCCTTTCAATTCCCAGAAGCTATGGCTGCCTGGGGAATTCTGGGAGTTGAAGTCCATGCCTCTTAAAGGGACCAAGGTTGGAAAACCTCAGTTTACAGCAAAACAGCAGATTCCTTTGCAGTGATTTTTGCTACAAAATTTCGACCCAGTCTTTAAAGATGAGGGCTCATCAACTTAAGCATTAGGATTGCTAACTTGATGGCACAATTCCCAGGCTCTGGGCCAGAGGGATGTCTTCCCCCTCTGTAAATAAATTTCTTTCATTGCAAGCGCTCCCCCTCTTACTTTTGTTTTCATGGCCCGCCTTTCGATCTCGCTGATGCACTTCTTGACAATGAAGGGGACGCCATCCAAGCCGGTGTGGGAAGCCTGCGCAAAGTCCCGCCCGAAGATCTGCAGTTTGCCTTGAAGTTTCTTGTGTCCGCACTGAATGGCCAGGGTCTCCAGGCACTTCTTGTGGCAGGCTAAGTAACACTGGGGAAGAGTGGGCAGAGGCAGAGAGGGTGGAAGTGAAACAGCTGTAGTTAGGGAGTTGGTGCAGTTCCAGAAAGAGCCACTGGGTGGCAATATGTCATCAATAAACCCCTTTTTTTGTTAGTGTTTTTCAAAGGGAGGTTGGGGAATTGTGGAAGTTTATTTATGTTTATTTTATTTATTTTATTTTATTTATTTTATTTGTTTATTTACATGTACAAGATAACAAGTATAAGTATGGACACAAACAGGAACAAAGGAAGTAAATACAGATAAATGGGGACAGTAAGACAGGGACAGTAGGCACGCTGGTGCGCTTATGCACGCCCCCATTAAGGACCTCTTAGGAACGGGGTGAGGCCCACGGTAGACAGTTTGAGGTTGAAGCTGTGAGAGTTTGAGGCCGTAACCATGGAGTCCGGAAGGGCATTCCAGGCATTGACCACTCTGTTACTGAAGTCGTATTTTCTGCAATGGAGTTTGTAGCAGTTTCTCTTCGGTTGTCCACCCAGCTTAAAGTTGCTGAGACTGAGAAAAAGTGAATCACTGCAGTTATTAAGTGAGGAACATGGTTGTTAAGTGAATCCGGCTACCCCATTAATTTGCTTGCCACAAGATTGCAAAAGGGGATTGCATGACCGCTGTCATAAATGTGAATCAGCTGCCAAGTGACTGAATTTTGATCACATGACCATGGAGATACTACAATGGTCGTAAGCAGGAGTGGGATTCTACCAGTTCGGACCAGTTTGGGTGAACCGGATGTTAAATTTGCATCTGGTTCGCCGAACCGGTATTTGAATTGACCGGACAGCCCCACCTACCCCTCCCCTCCCCAGAGTCTCCACACGGCCCATTTTCGATGCAGGTAAGTACAGGGTCCACGCAGAGGCTCTGGAAGGGGGAAAATTGGGCCTTCCGGAAGTCCCGAAATGGGCCTGTTTCCGGCTTCCGGTGGGCCTCCAGAGCCCGGGGGAGGCCATTTTCACCCTCCCAGAGGCCCAAGGGACACCTCTGGACCCTCGGGAAGGCAAAAAACAATCCTCCCACACATTCCAGTAGGCCACGCCCATCAAGTCCATGCCCACCCAAGCAACTGGGCAGTGAACCGGTTGCTGGGGTTTTTGAATTCCACCCCAGTCATAAGTGTGAAAATTGGTTGTAAGTCACTTTTTTCAGTGCTTGTGGTAACTTTGAATGGTCACTAAATGAATTGTTGTAAGTCATGGACTACCTGTGTTTCTGAGGTATGCCTGTACTTTTTGTACTGCCTCCCCTTTGCCCAAGTACCCATCCTACCTCGTCACATTCAGCTCCCTGGAAGTAAACGTAGCTGTTGCACTCCCGGCATTTTGAGGGTGTCCGCAGCTTCCTCAGCCGGTGGGTTTGGGCAGCTCTGGACATGCTGATATGCCGGAAAGGGCCAGTGGGCGTACAGATTCCTGGAGTCATTTCATTAATACCTGGTAACCAGAAATTTTTAAAAAGGCAAAAACTGAAACACCATCAAAAATGCAGTTTATTGTTAGATTTATTGTTAAATATTTTTACCTTGCCTTTATTATTTTTCAATAAGTAGCTTAAGTTGGCAAACATACCTAATACTCCTTCCTTGTCCTATTTTCCCTACAGTAGGAACAACCCTGTGAGGTGGATCAGTGTTAGGAATATAAGTCACCTAACAGCTATTTGGGTTGGACAATATGTAAACCAGGATAAACATTTTAATACTGTATCTTTAAGAGAATCCAAAAATTGTAATTGGGTGTGGTTTCTCAAACAGCCATAAGATGGAGCCAGAAACCTGGGTTGTCTTAGTCTCAGAAGAGAGTGTGAATGTATCTCTTTTTCCTTCTGTTGGAGAATATTGCTGTTCCTTCTAATTGACTGCTATTCCTGGATTTGATGTAAGTCTGATACTGAACTGTTTTTGACACTGGAATTTGTTATTGGATTACCCCCGGATTGAAAACTGACTGATCTTACCTGTGAATGATTTTGGACTGCTTATTTTGAACTTTGCTTAAACCTTTATTGAAAGTGAAACCCTATATTTACTATACGGTGTATCTGTGTGCTGCGTATGTATTATTCAAACACTTCTCTCAAATAGGTCTCCCTGTACACGCTCATTCTCCTAACAGGGAATTACCTCAACAATCAGGCTGAAAGAGAGTGACTGGTGCCAACTCCGAGTCACCCAGTTGGCTTTCATCTATGAGGTGGGATTAGAACTCACAGTCGCCTGGTTTCTAGGTAAACACCTTAACCACTACACCAAACTGGCTCCATTGCATCTCTCAATCTTGGCAACTTGAAGACGAATGGGCCTCATTTCCCAGAATTCCCCAGCTACCCATGCTGAAGGTCCTTTCCCACTCTACGGTAACATTGCATCAAAGTTACTTTTTGTTCTGTTTCGTTTCTTTTTGTCTGATTATATGAATCTGGAGGGGGAGGAGCCAAGTGAACTAAAAGTTACAGTTGTGTACAATCAATGCACAGCATTCCAGGACAAAATATAGAACTAAAAAAACAAAGGAAACGTAGGATTTAGGCATTTTTCTCCCAACCTGCTGGGAGAAAAATAAGGACCTGCTCCATCCCAGTGTTTCTCAGTCTTAGCAACTTTATAATTTGGGTGAACTGGGAATTGAAGTCCACCAGTCTTAAAGTTGCTAAGGTTGAGAGATCTTAGCATCTTATTATTGTGCATCTTATTATCCCCATTTTATTGGTTTTCCCCTCCTCTAGTGGAATTATACCACTAGTTTGCATCGTTCCACTAATACATACTCTGTTCAAAGGAAGGTGAATTCCCATCAGGATCATCTTTAGGCGACAGCGATCCATTCGAAGGCATCTGAGGAAACTCGCCTAACCAAGAGAAAGCCTCGAGTTTAGATTTTATTGAATTGGATCCCAGACAGCAGAAAAAGGAAACCATAAAGATGTCAAAGACAGTCCTATCTAGGGGTCAACATGTGACACAGGGAAAAAAAAGAGGGCGAAGAGCTTGACCATCACATCACAGTGGGTGGTTCTGGACCACACCTTGCAAGTATTTCCCCCTCCCCTCTCCAATGTTCAAGCTCAGGCTTTTGAGATTTGCCAGAAGGAAAACTCCATAGTTTGGGCGCATGTTGGGACTATTCCAGAGCATATTCCAGAGTTGGAATATGGAATCCGGTTGAATTTTCAGATGTTGTCTCAACCACAAAAGTTATTGGTGATTTTAGATCAAATGACCTCTTTGAGTTGTAGCCTATCTTCAACGCAAAGTGTCTTCTTGATTGATTGAAGGGTAGAAACAAGTTGTTTTTCTAATGCTCCCTGAATTTAATGACTGTCTATAGCTGCCAACGTGGGAGTAGGTGGATTGATCAAATATAAATTGAATAAATGAATGAGAAGCAATATATTGATGCAGGTATCAGATAAAGGTAAAGGTTGCCCTCGCACATATGTGCTAGTCGTTTTCAGCTCAAGGGGGCGGTGCTCATCTCCATTACAAAGCCGAAGAGCCAGTGCTGTCTGAAGACGTCTCTGTGGTCATGTGGTTGGCATGATTAAACGCCAAAGGCGCACGGAACGCTGTTATCTTCCCACCAAAGTGGTCCCTATTTTTCTACTTGCATTTTTACATGCTTTCAAACTGCTAGGGTGGCAGAAGCTGGGACAAGTAACAGGAGTTCACTCCATTACGTGGTACTAGGGATTCAAACCACCAAACTGCCAACCTTTCTGATCGACAAGCTCAGTTTCTTAGCCACTGAGCCTCCGCATCCCTTTTTAGAATGCAGTACAGGCTAACTCACTGCTCGCTCCAGCTCAAGGCTGATTCAGCCTTCCATCCTTCCAAGGTCATTAAAATGAGGACCCAGATTGTTGGAGGCAAAATGCTGAGTCTAAACCACTTAGAGAGGGCTATTGTTATTTACAGATCAATCATGGATCTAATAACCCTTCCCACCAAGGTGGTCCATATTTTTCTCCTTGCATTTTTACATGTTTTTGAACTACTAGGTTGGCAGAAGCTGGGACAAGTAACAGGAGCTCACTCCATTATGCGATGCTAGGAATTTGAACCGCTGACCTGTCGACCTTTCTGATCGACAATAGATAGACAAAAGACAGGTAGATATGGGCATCTTATTAGACTCTTTTCAGTTCAGATCCTAATGGAACTTGCACAACCAGTAGGTCAGAAGATGGGAAAATACCTGGGCTTGTGGCAGCGGATTCCAGATTGCCCTTGGTCTCTGAGATGGCTGTTGGCCATGATTTGTGTGCCTGGTGACCTCGCCCACCTAAGGAGCCAATGACAAGGCAGATTTCATTCCTGCATGTGCAGAGTCAGACAAAAGGTTGGGCTTTTGCAAGGCTGGCCGGTTCTTTGAAACAGAAAAGCATCTCCCAGTCAGACATTTTGCTAATATAGCTGGGTCTCGATTAGTGCAGATAGAGAATCTCATCTGCTAGCTGATGGAAGATAGATAGATCACTAAATGATTCTGTGAACAACTCAATCTGCCTGCCTGCTTTGCCTGATTTTGGATAAAAGTTGCTCTTTTTT